CCAAACTGGCCAATGGTCTGTTCCATCCCATGGCCGGCATGGCCAGGGTATGGGTGAGGCTCTGTCCAGAAGGGCTCTCTCTTGCTCCGGGTTGTCTCCCTCTGGGTTGCCCCTCTCTCGGGGTTGTCTCAGTCTCTCAAACACTTGGGCTCTGATCTCCTTTCTGGGATTGTGGTTTCAGGACTTTCCCTGCTCCGGGATCATTAGCTGGGAACAGGCTGAGCCTTGGTCATGGGATGGTGAGCAGTGGCACTGTGTGTCACTCATTTGTAGATATTACTATTATCATCATTATTATTATTTCCACTGTTATTGTAGTTTAGTTATTAAATTGTTCTTATCTCCACCCACAAGTCTCTTTTCCCTTCACCCTTTTAATTCTTTCCCCCATCCCCAGGAGTGGGAAGGGGAGGATGGTAAGCGAGTGGTGTTGAGTTTTGCTGCTAGCCAGGGTCAAACTACAACACCAACAAACTGCCTCTGTGTCATGAGATAATACTGGCATTTCCCTCCCTGGCAGCAGCCTCAACAGGCTCTCTGCACAAAAAGCCACTTTCCTCCTCATGCAAGCTAACCAAGGCAGACCAGAGGGGACAGCAGGCAGCACCCAGCCCCTGCAGCCGATGTCGCCGCTGTGGTGATGCAGCCTGGGCTGGACGGAGGAAGGAGAGCCAGGCGCGAGCTGGCTGCCCATAGGTTTTCAGTAGCTGCGGATGGTGAGGACGCTGCCAATGCTGGCAGAGCGTCTCCTCGCTCATTAAGTAGGTATAAGCTCCAGCCAACTCTGCTGTCTCATTCTAGCTCTCATCTGCCCGGTGTCTTATGCCTTCCACTGTATCAACTGATCGGATTAATTGCCATGCAGCTGGGATGGGGGCTGGGGGAGAACTGGGAGCAGATGAAAGCTTTTATGCTGCTTCCATTTACCCTCAGATCATTACCCGTCATGTTACCAAGTGTTCCCAGGCTTGCCGCATCTCCCAGACTTTGTCATCTGGTAGCATGGCCGTGGACGGCTTGCATCCTTGCCACAAATAAAGGAAATTAAAATCTCATGAGAAGCCGTGCCAGAAGCCCTCATTTTTAAGCTAGCTGTTGCAGCCTAATCAAAATGTGAGGAAAGTGACAGTTTTACTCGCGACAGCTGAACAGTCATTCCTACCTGGTGCATCAAGGCTAAGATACCCTTGTGACTTTCAGGGAAAAAAAATCTATTTTAAACTCCTCTGTTAGCCAGTATTTCTGCAGAAGAAAGCAAAAGGGCTTGAGGCTAAACTTGATCCTCACAGGCTGCATATTTCAGTACTGGAAGGCTGTGACTCAGTGGCCTCTGGAAGCTCTCCAAGCTATGAGTAGCTCAAAGGAGGAATTAAAAGCTCAACGAACTGCCTGTTCTCCTGAAACTTGTTTTGTACATGCTATGGAAGAGATGAGAGATTTGGAAGAAGGCGGCCCTGTCCAAGAATCATTGGCTATAACAAGTCACAGCAAGCAATGAATATTTATTTTATTGAACTACTTAGATGTCTTTTAATGAGCCTTTTTGCCAAGTTTATGTGGGAGAATTTGCCAAAATACAATGTACACTATAATAAATCCCAAGGTACCTACCTAATAGGCTTCCCACTTGGTCTTCCGTCCCCAACAGTCTCTGTGTCGAGACGTCAGAATACCTATTTTCTGCCCCAAATGGAAAGGCGAACCTGAGCAGCATTCTTGACGTTTTTCCAGACAGTTGGAAAAGCTGATGCAAACTGAGATATGTCCTGTGCTAGCCTGTGAAACCAGGCTTGAGGAATCTTGGGAAGATGAGTCTGAGACTCAGGCTATCCGTTCATTATAGCTCAGGGAAGAAGATGGCTCCTTTGGCTGTGTCTCTACTTCCAGACAGTAGTGGTCTTTGATTCACTCTAGTCTTGGTCCCTAGATCTGACTCACCCTTATCCCAGATCCATCTCAGGTGGAGATCTTGAACCTTTCCATCCCTGATGGTTAAGGCTCTTCAAACCCAAAACACAAGACAGCAAAATCAGCACCTCAGATTAAAATAGGAAACAAAGTTTCTGGATGCTTCAGGAAATCACCCAGGAAAAGAGCTCTAGTACTTGCTGAAAACACAACTTGCAAGCCCAAAAAAAGAAAAGGGAAGCTTTGAGAAAAGGCAGCACCATGGCTTGGTGTCTTCAGACGTGGCCCATCACGGTGCATTTCTGATCACAATGATGAAACATCTTCCCACTCTTTTTGACACATTTTCCCAGTTCTCAAGAGCAAGGCTTAACTGAGCAAGGCCCACCCAAGAAAGAGACTCAGTGTTCTATGAAGGGATCCTCCCAACTGAACGAAAAGCCATCGCTTTTATGCTTGCTGTGGGTGCTGGG